ATATTCTCACCACCTAGAATGTGTTGCCTTTTTTAAAATTCTAAGACCATCTCCGGAGATGTCAAATCCTAAGTGGAATGTCATGTAATCAAATTTGAAGGTAGGAGCAAGCTCCAACCGATATGTCAATCCTATGTGGATTGACATATGAGTTTTCATATGTCAAATTTGACATATGATAAAACGCGGTGTCAAATTATTTTTAATTATTTTATTGTGTGGGTCCCATTAATGCATCAATTATAGATCGTCAAAATTTATTTTAATTGATTTCTTTTTAAAGTGGGTCATACAAATATCATTTATAACAAAAAAACATATCGGTTAGAAAAAGAGAAAATTTAACATTGCCACATCAGCCATCAAATTAACATATGACATTTATCTTTTGATATCTCTATAGAAGTGCTCTAATCGACTATCATTGGATTTGGATGTATTCTTAAAATCCTCTCAAATCCTAACTTGACTACTCTATAATTTCAAAATCTTTTAAAATCCTCTTTTAAAACTATAATTGACTACACCCGTATTTTAAAGTCCATTAAAATTCAATCAAATTCTAATTTAACTACCCCTAACCCTCGCTCTTCATTAATTACCGAAATATGAGATTTAGAAGGTTTGAAAAAGTGAAATTTACATCGTGTTAAAAGGACAAGTGGCAAATTTGACAAAAAAAAAAAAAAAAAAAGGGACAAGTGGCAAAAGGTAGGGTAATTTATAGGCCAAAAAAATATAACGCTTATCATGTCCTTTAGGTACCATTTGATACGTGTGATGGGACGGAACGCGCTCGTCCCATGTTTGGTGCACCAAAGACAGTGGGACGCGCTGTCCCACAGAACGAATTTTGGTTAAATTTTTGTTCTACCTCCCCCCTTGGAACAACTCGTTCCACTCCCATGGAACACAAAATTATAAAATTTTAGGACAAAAATGCCCCATATCTTTCTCAATATCTACACCATCCAAATCATAAAACAAACCCAAAATTCTAGGGAAAATTTCGAAAAATAACCATAATATGGACCCCATAAAGAATTATAACCACCCTTTTAAGTTTATGATAATTATAACCAAAATTTGATATGCAAGTACTAATATACCCCTAATGGGTGAAAAGTTATAAACTTCCTCATGTTCTTAACCATGAAAAAACTAAAACAACTAATCGCTCTTTGCACTAGCTCGTCCCTTCCCGGAAAGCTGGTTACCAACAAGATCAATGAACGACTTGAATGTTGATAACTAAAGTTGGATCTCAACCGATTAGCTATGTTAACTCTATCCTTATTGCCTAGGAAACGAGAATGGAAAACCTAGAACATTTCAAAGCCCATTCAGTAAACTTTTGAATCTTAGCAGTAGCTTCTCCCTTCAAGACCTCATCTCCATTGCTGGAGGCACTATGCAACTTATCAAAAATAAAAAAGGGTAACCAATAAAGCAAATGGCACATCAATTCCAGGATTAAAAGGAAATAGACAGCAAAGGTGCTTAGCAGACACAATAAACAATACCGCACTACACTTGTAGTTCAAAGAAAATTAATAAAAGAAGAGGACATCCAAGGACTTTAGGGCGTGTTTGTTTGGTCTTGTTAAGTTTTCACTGGACTAGACTGGATTAGACATTAGTGTAGGCTCATGTTTGTTCTAGGCAGGATTAAGTTTAATGGGACAAATGAGGACTCGCATCGACTAAGTCCCTCACTAAGAGGTCTTAGCAAGACCCCCCTAGGGTTGGGTTCGGTTTGAAACGGTTTAGTTTTTTGCCAAAACATAAACAGTTCGGTTCGGTTCAATTTGTTTCGATTTTTTTTTGTTCGATTTTTTTCGGTTCGGCTTCAGCCCGGTTCGATTTTTTTTTTTTTTTTTAAATGAATAAAAATTGAAACCTAAAATTCTAACATCTCCAAGACAATCATAACATAACAAAGTCCAAATTTTACAGAAATATTCCACTTAACTAAAATCATAAAATCAAATAAACCTTCAAGACTTCCACGCACTTCTTCTTTTCAACTCCTCAAGCTCAATGTTTAGGCGGCCTAGGAGGCAACATAGCAGATTAACAATGCAACCGTTATCTCACTACGTGGTTAATCAGCATATATATATATATATAAGAGGGAGGTTAACAATGCAACTGTTGCTATGAAAGAGAGCTCTACTTTAAGTTTGTAAAATTCCCAAGTCAATATAAACGGGGAAGTCGTACATTGTACTTGTATTTAAGTTTGTAAAATTCACAAGTCAAGAACTGAAGCATGGTGAATACAGATAAACCATTTACCATCAATTTTCTCAAACACATTTGTTGCAAATTGTCCACCCCGTTAATCAGCATACATGAACAATGCAACCGTCTATACATGTACAATGTATAGAGCTCTACTTCATTAGTGGGGGATCAGCCTAAACTTGAATTATTTAGAGAAACTAATTAGTTGACAATTAACTGTCTAGGTTTCTAATTAGGGAGTGATCCATTGCCCAGTTGTTCTAGCTCTCCCAGTGGACTGGTAGCACACTCAAACATGACAAACAGATACTAGTTTGCTAGCAAGATTAAAATCAAGTTGCCCAGTTCTAGCTCTCCCATTGCCCAGTTGTTTTAGCTTGCCCAGTTGTTCTTTAGCCTACTGTTTTTTTAATTTGCTAGCAAGATTAAAATCCAGAAAATAGAAAAACACTCACATTGAATTTTAAAGGCAGATATGGAATCACAAAGTCCTATCCTTCTAACCATAATTCGAAAAGTGAGTAGTAACGGCAGAAAGAAACCCATAAACAATCACACTGAAAATGAGCACACATTCATAGATCTCAGTCACTTCATAACACTAATAAATCCAAGAGTAAGTAGTAATAGCAGAAAGAAACCCAGAAAATCGGTAGATTAATAGAAAATGCAAAGTATGAAATGAATCCTTCTCTAATCAAAACCAATTTCAATGGATAAATAGAACATAAAATTAAACACAGAGAAATGAGAATATAAGACTAACCTTTTGCAGTGGAGACTCGAAACGGCAAGAAGAAGCTCACGGCGAGATGAGAGACTGACGGCGAGGGCGAGGTGTGAGAGATTGAGAATGAGAAGGGTCGCGCCGACGCAAGTCGCCTGGGATTCAAGACCGAGAGAGATAGAGAATTTGAGAGAGATAGAGAGTTATTAAAGTTGAAGATTGAGAGAAAGAGATGAGGCTAACCTTTTGCTGTCGAGACTCGAAACGGCAAGAAAGAGCTGACGCGAGATGAGAGACTGATGGCGAGGGCGAGGTGTGAAAGATTAAGAGTGAGAAGGGTCGCGCCGTAGTGGGTCGCCTGAAGGATTGAGAGAGACAGAGCGATTGAAGTTAAACACCAAGCGAGAGAGAGGAGGCTCAGGCTGCGCGAAAGGATCACTAGGTTAGGGTTACACTTAGGGTAAAACGACACCGTTCTAGCAACACAAATTTGCAAGAATTTGGAGGCACGAGCATGGAGGGTCTCACAAATATGAAGCTTAGAATAGAAAGGAGGATGCAAGTTATGGAAAAGAATGGAGAAATTGGAGGAATGGACATGGAGGGAGTCTGGAGGCATGGAACAAGAGAAAGAAGAGGGGAATGAAAAATAGAAAAGGTGTGGCTACTATTACTGGTGGCTAAGGTTAAAGGTTTTTGTAGATTTCTCATAAAAATTAAAAAAAATTCTCTGAAATCCTAAACGTAGGAGGGTTCGAACCCATGCACTCTAGCTTGAAAAGTTTCACTGAAACCAACTTGGCAACAGGTTCCATTTTGCTATGATTGTATGACTAAACTATTTATAATTATTGAAACAAATAATTAAATATATACATATATATATCGGTTCGGTTCGATTTCCAAACCTCAAAAACCGAAATCTAACTGGGTAGATTCGTTTCGATTTGGTTTGACAGTTTCGGTTCGATTTTTTTCAACCTTGGTCCGATTTGGGTTTCATTTTTTTTCAGTTTTCGGTTTTTTGAACCCACCTCTAGACCCCCCCCCCCCCAAAACAACGGGATTGCTAGTCCCCTCTCCCTTGTCTACAAGCAACAAACCCAATCCTTCTCCTTCGTACATGAGCAACAGCTGCAGCCCCCTTCTCTAGTGACCAGAACAGAGACAACTCTCGCCGATCTCCACCATCCTGCAAACCCAGCGCCGATTTGTCTTCCACCATCTGGGTTGACTCGAACACAACAAAGACGGGTCTTTTACTATCTCAGACTACATGCACATCACTCTCAAAACCTCACAAATGCCTAAATTTCCACCCTTACCAAATACCTGCTTTCACTGATTCTCCTTCACCAGTTGCGTTTCATCACTAGAATTCAGCGAACCATAATCTGAATCTGTGCGACAGATAAGGTGAGTAATTAGTAGGAATAGGGAATTTTGAAAGGTGTTCGATTAGTGAGAAAATTAATAGAGAAAATGGAATGGCAATTAGTAGGAATTGGGGATTTTGAGATGTGATTTTCAACAAATGGGAATGTGTGCAAATAGGAATTCCATGAAAGCATGGTTGATAAAGGTAAAACGATTTGTGTGTCTGAATTGAAAAGCTTTCAATAGCATGGTTGATGTCGGCTCTGATGGTTGATGAAGGAAAAAAAATGTGTTTGAATTGGAGAGCTTTGAAAAGCATGGTTGATATAGGCAAAGATGGTTGAGATTTCGAGAGAGATATAGGAAAAAATAGAATTAATAATAAAATGTTAATAGATAAGAATTAAATAATATGATTTGAGAGTTTGTTTATAATTCTGTTTTTTTTTTGTGCGACACTGCACCAAAAACTTCATTAAATTAGTCCAGCTTAGTCTAGTTTATGGCAGTCCAGCTTAGTTCTTGAAGCTAATCTATTCCGAAATAATCCGGTACAACAAACACATCCTTAACTAAAATTTGTTATATTAATGGTATCTTAGTATTTTTCATATCAAATTTTATTTATAATTACCATAAACTTTAAAGGCTGATTATAATTCTATACAGGCTCTAAATTTTGGTTCTCCAAATTTCCCAAAATTCATTCATCTTCTTTCCATCTTCTCTGCCGCTGCCTTTCTTTTCCCGTAGGCCTTCCTCCTCATCCTCATCTTCTCCCGTAGCCGCTGCATCTCCAGATTCGATCTTGATTTCTTCCGTAGTAGCTGCATCTCCAGGTTCGATCTTGATCTTCTCCCGTAGCCGCCGTAGCCGCTGCATCTCCAGGTTCGATCTTGATCTCTATAGATCTTTAATTTTGCTTTTTTGATTGGGTTTTACTTTTTCGTTTTCTTGATTATTTTCTGAGAAAATAGGATGATTATGAGAAAATAAGTTAGTTTTCTTGGTTTCACTGGTTTAACTTGTGAATTAAAGGTAACTTTTCTCACTTAGTTTTACGTTATACCTCATATCCTTTGTTTGGTTGCTGAGAGAAGTCTGAAAAGTGAAAACCGTTTTAGTTTTGATTTCATTTTCTCATTATACAACTTAATTGAAGGTAATTTCTCACTTGTTGGAAGTCTGGGAAATTAAAGTGAAAACTGGGAAATAAAAAGAATTTTAGTTGAATGATGTGTTGCATGTGGTTTCTGGGTTCGGATGAGCAAAAATCATTTTGTCAACTTAGCTTAAACTTAAAGCGAGTTATTATTTCAATTTACTATATTTTCCACCAACAAAATAGTGTAGTAGTTGGATTTACCTCTTTCTTTTCACCCTATGAAAATATATTAATTTTGGGTAAATTTAGTTTTTATCGTCTCTCTAATTTATTTAAAACTTTGCATGTTGCAGGAGATTAGTCAACTTTGTATCTTCAAGAACTCTGCAAAGATTACTGCTTATTTTGCAATGTATTCTGGTTGAAATGGTTGCAATTTGATTCTGTGACAAGTTTATGTTGTGGCTGCTTTCGTAGTGGAGGCAGTCTTTCTTACCGGATTTGTCGTAGCTGAAAACCGTGCTTCTTGCCTGAAACGATTTAATGGAACAAAGTTTAGGTCAAGAGTCTGTTCCTGGTTTTGGGTCACTTGACAAGTCTAAGGTTTTAGATGTAAGGCCTTTGAGACGTCTTGTTCCGTTGTTCCCGTCAGCTTCTAATAATACTTCATTTTCAACTCCACAAGGTGCTGCTCCTTTCGTTTGTGTTTCTCCTGCTGGCCCTTTCCCACCCGGGGTTGCCCCATTTTTTCCGTTCTTCATTTCGCCGGAGTCGCAAAGGCCACTTGAACAAAATCTGCAAACACCAAGTGGTAATGCATCTTTTGTCTTCAACAAGCCAATATCAAATGCAGTCCCAATTAATTCATTTAGGACGCCTCCATCCGCAGACGCTAATGGAGATACGAGGACAGCAAGAAGGCTTGCTCGAAGTCGTGGTCAGCCACAATCCCAAAGTGGGAATGCAGAGGAAGATGGTTTTGATGGAGAAAATACAAGGAAGGTAGGGAGCTCAAGGAGTAAGTTCCGGTCCCAAAAGAGGACAAGGGGTGGCCAGGACATTAATGTTGCTTTGCCTGATGTTGACATTGATGCAATAATTGATAATGTTCTTACAACATATACCAATACATTCCAACAAACTGATGGTGACAGGGAATCAGTTGTATATGCACTCACGTCCTATGACTTGGTGCGAAGAAGGATTACACAAATTGAAGAGATGAAGGAAAGAATACCAGGAGCCCCAAGAACAGGACGCCCTGATCTAAGGACAGGAACACTCTTCATGAATAAGGGAATTAGGACAAATGCCAAGAAGAGGATTGGTGCAGTGCCTGGTGTTGAAGTCGGGGATATTTTCTTTTTCCGAATGGAACTGTGCTTGGTTGGGTTACATGCTCCAACTATGGGTGGAATTGATTACATGGGAGTCAAGAACAGTACAGAGGAAGAGCCCTTAGCATTGAGCATTGTTTCTTCTGGAGGATATGAGGATTCTGTGGAGGATTCGAATGTGTTGATATACAGTGGCCAAGGTGGTAATGCTAGCAATGATTTCAGGAGAGATAAGGAAATGAAGGATCAGAAGCTTGAAAGGGGTAATCTTGCTTTGGAGAAAAGTTTGCATCGGGGTAATGATGTCAGAGTAATTCGAGGTTTAAGGGATGTATCTAATCCAACCGGGAAGGTATATGTCTATGATGGTCTATATAAAATTCACGAATCATGGGTCGACAAGGGGAAGAGTGGTTGCAATGTATTTAAGTATAAATTGGTAAGGTTACCTGGCCAGCCTGAAGCATTTAACATTTGGAAATCAATTGAACAGTGGAAAGAAGAAACTACTACTACAAGGGTTGGACTTATATTGCCTGACCTTACTTCCGGAGCTGAAAATTTACCTGTTTCTCTCGTAAATGATGTTGATTGCGAGAAAGGCCCTGCACACTTCACATATATTTCTAGCCTGCAGTATTCTAAACCGGTGAATCTTACAGAATCCTCTGATGGATGTCTCTGTATTGGCGGGTGTCTCCCTGGTAATTCCAATTGCTCTTGCATTAAGAAAAATGGAGATTTTCTCCCATATACTGCAAATGGGCTTCTTGTGAACCAAAAATCCTTACTGCATGAATGTGGTCCATCCTGTCAGTGCCCTCCTAATTGTCGGAATCGAGTGTCTCAAAGTGGCCTGAAAGTTCGTCTGGAGGTGTTTAGAACTAAGGATAAAGGTTGGGGTCTGCGGTCTTTGGATCCCATCCGTGCTGGTTCTTTGTTATGTGAATATGCAGGACAAGTTCTTAATATTTCTGGGGTAGAAGAAATGGGGGGTGATTATGAAGACGATTACATTTTCGATGCTACTCGTACCTGTCAGCCACTCGGGGTTCTGCCTGGTGATTCTGCTGAGACTTCAAAGGCCCCATTTCCTCTAATTATAAGTGCAAATACTGATGGAAATGTTGCTCGTTTTATGAATCACAGCTGTTCTCCAAATGTACTTTGGCAGCCAGTCTTAAGGGAAAACAAAAATGAGTCTGACCTCCATATTGCGTTTTATGCGGTTGGACACATACCTCCTATGACAGAGTTGACATATGATTATGGGATGGTCCCTCAAGAGAAAGCATACCATAGGAAGAAAGTGTGCCTTTGTGGGTCAATAAAATGCAGAAGCTTCTTTTACTAATGGGTGTACCATATGAGGATAAACTTTGATAAATTATGCTTCTAGAAAAAGGTTAGAGGCCTTCAGTTTCCTGACTGAGTTTATTTCTTACTATGATACTTTTTCTGTTTGTCTTGTTTTCTTGTTTTATCATATAAATGCTTCTTAAATTAACCGGACTTCAAAGAATGATTAAATCTTGAACGTAGCATGAATGATCATGAAAACAGTTTACGTTTGGCACTTAGTAGTGGTTTTACGGTTCATGTTATCATGAAATATGTTGATTTGGCATGAATATCTCACGTGTTTGAAGACAAAATATGTAGAAGGAACATTCTTTTCCTAAAATGTTGGTTCAGAAAATGTGTGAAGGATTCGATTCTGTGTGTTGTGTCTTGGTTGAATCAATTTTTGTCTCAGATTCCAAAGTAAAGGTTTGTCATTAACACCCGTCTAGTATTTGATGTTCACTTGGGTCCTCTTTATCCATGATCCATCTTTATTGTATATCTACATCCCTTCCACCTTCAGGCCAGCAATCCTTATCTTTATTGTTGAATCCTGTATTTAATAGTTCAATGCCATAGCCACCCATGCGTTAAATTTTCAAGGAACTGTCTTCACTTATTACGCACTTCATGGTGAGAAGTGAGAATATCATAAACCAGACGCAGAAAAGTAAAACTAGGTCACAGCCCATCTGGCATTGATCTATCAAATTTTGTGTCTTGTAAACTTATATAATGTAACTATGTTGCTATGGGCATATATGATTTGCTCTATTTCCATACTGACACTTCTCAGTGTCCAAATATTTATACGCGACTTAATGTTTTTTCTATTTAAATGAAGTTCTTACCCTTCCATATTGCCTTGCCCCTTGTGCAGTTGGTTTGTATTACTTTGGCAGAAAGAAGGGGGTGATGCGGTATGTGTTTCCGTTTGCTGTTTTCATTACCTTGGAAGGCATCTGGTTTTCAGGTATTGAGGAACATCATACTTCTCCCTTGTGACTTTAGTTAATGGGCACATGCGAGATCCGTTCTCAGCATTGTCAATGTACTATTAATGTATGAAGTTTGTAACATTAAAATTACTAGGAGATTTCCTGTGGATTAGTTTATTTACTTGTGTGTGGTTTCCTTTTTAGCGGAAAAGTAGGTTTCTTCTTTGTTTATTAACGACTTGCTTTGTGGAATCGGAGGACCTAAGCCCCATGTGCTTGTGCACAGGGTTATAAGTGCATTTGCTCTAGGGCATGCACCGGCTTCCTTGTGTGCGCGGGCTCGTGTTTTCCTTCAGGCCCCAAGCTTGTTAGACCGGAGACTGGTGATGGTTACTCAAGTCATTTTATCGTACAAAATCATATTGTCCATTAGTCCATCTTTGAGAGCATGTAAGCGAGGTTCATAGTTGCGGTTTGTAGAGCTTCTTCTGGTGGAAGAGGAGGTTGTTGTGACTTGTACCCTAGGAGTAGGAGGTTAGTACTTACTGCTTGGGCATTTGTACGACGAGGTCTGCTTTAGGTGTGTGGTTTCAAATTCAAGGGGTAATTTAGTGTCTACGATTCTACGGTACATTTTAATATTAGCGGGCGAATAAAATGATTTAGTGTTTTGCTTGGCCTCTCTCGCTCACTGATTCTCTCTTGGTGAGTTTGGTTCGTCGACTATAATGGGGCAAGGACAGTAGCAGAAATTCTGTATGAGTTATTTTGTGCTAGTTTTATTACTTGGAAATGATGTATCTACATGTCGTTTTCAATTGTCACAGTTGGGTTATGTCTTTCCAAGTCCAATGGGGCAGGCCGTCATAAATTCTGTACTAATCTGTTTGATATTTTCATTCATCTTTATAAGTTTCGAATCAAAGATTGCACGTTCATTATGCCCTCCTAAGACAGGACTAATCTGTTTGATGGTCTTAAAGCAATATGATTAAAGTATTACTAAACAAGAGAATGACTTACATGTCACCGTGGTAGTGTTCCGTGACCCCTCTTTAATTTCTTTAAAACCAAAATTTGGATGAATTGAGTGAGAACTGACGTAAAAAAGAAAGAGTAGTGTTACATTTACCATCTACTTGTATCATCATTTATATTCCTTGTATCATTATTTGTATCGTTTCTCTAATAAAGGTAGGGTCTGTCAATGGACGTGGATCCCATCTTTATAAGAGAGTTAGTACAAATGATGTACAACTAGATAACATTTTTGAAAAAGAAAACTAAAGACGACCATGTATATGTTATTTTTGTTTGGTTGGAAAGGACTAGACTTATCCCAAATCCAATGATGATGTGGAATGTTCCATATACGGCAGGTGCCGTGCAAGCCGTTTCGTCGTCCGTCAGCCGGATAAACGGATTAATGTTGGGGTCCACGGGATAAGATCAAGACATTTTTCATGTATCCATCTCGGTACGTCATGAGTTTAGCCACTTTCAGTGGACAGTGCTGAACGTTCAAAAACCAAAACCTAGTTTAATTTGTATAAAAACTTATCAATAACCAATGACTGGCTATAATTCTATGGAGTCTAAAGTCATCTGAAACCGAAGGAGAATCATAATCCCCTTAATAATTTATTATTTTAATTGAATTAATATAATTAATTAAATTAAACTACCATATTAAAATAAAATTTTCGGACATACTAAAATATAGTTATATAATCTTAATAATTCTCCGGATAGTATGGAATGATGAAAAGTATGTAAAAAATGGTGTAGAAATAGTTTAGGTATTTATAGGAAAAAAAATTAGAAATTTATTATTATTTTTTTTTTTTAATTCGTCCGGAAAAAAAAATAATTCAAATTCCAACGGTAACCTGACGTTAGCTAGTTGTTGCTATCTGGCGTCATGCTAACGCTAGGTAGCTGTTGGATGGCAAGTGGGCTGGGCTGAAGGGTTAGCTGGCAGGCTGGAAACGGCTAGCATGTTGGCCTAATTTGGTTGTTTTGGCCTGGTGGGGCCCAAAAGCCCTCTAGCCAGGTTTGTTGGAGATTGCCTAACTTGCCATTATTTGACTAAAGGGACATTAAGCTGGCCAAATATAACCCCCTCTTAGCCCTTTTTGGGTAGCTCTTCAATTGTAATAATTGATTTAAATCCAAAGACTAAATTTAAAAACATTCAAAGGTAATTTAATTAAACTAACCAATAAATTTAAAATTAATAAATTATTAAGGGAGCTATATTTAGCTCCTTCAGTTGGGTTGGAGATGGTATATAAGTATGGCATAACACTACTTATCAAAAATAATTTTTTTTACAGTGCTATTGTGAACACGGAAATTTCTTGAAACAAGAACACGTGTCACAAAATAATATTTGTGTTTAATGATTTTGGGGTTACGATTTCTCTCAAATTTGGTCCTCTGATTCGATCTCCGTAGGATGTAGATTTGTTGATCCAAGGGCCGTCGAGGCTTGATCTTGGATGAATGGTTGGAAGTTTCTTCAAGGGCCTTTAGGGCTTTGGTCTTGAAGTTTGATGGAAGTTTCTTCAAGGGCCGTTGGGCTTGATATTGAAGGTTGATGGAAGTTTCTTCAAGGGCCGTTGGGCTTGATCTTAAAGGTTAGGAAGTTTCTTCAAGGGCCTTCGGGGCTTGATCTTGAAGTTTGATGGAAGTTTCTTCAAGGGACATTGGGCTTGATCTTGAAGGTTGTCAGATGTGTTAATCCAAGGCCCATCAGAGCTTGATCTTGGAGGAACGGGTGTGTTGATCCGAGGGGTTTTGGGGCTTGATCTTAGATTGTGGTTGTGTTGATCCAAGGGCCTTTGGGGCTTGATCTTGATGAACAGACGAACGAATCTTTAAGGGCCTTCGGGGATTGATCTTGAAGAACTATTGTTTGTTGATCCAAGGGCCGTCGGGACTTCATCTTGGATGAACGATTGCCTCAAGGATTTGACTAAGAATGAAGAGTGCTTTCTCGATCCTTCGGAATTCTTGGGAGTTTGGATGCTTGAGAGCTTTGGAGTTTCAAAGCTTTAAGGATTTGGATGTGTGTGGAGTATTCTCTTCCATTTTGGGAGTAGAGAAATGTATTGGTGAATTGGTTGATTTAGGATCCTTGATACCTTGATGGAGAAGCCTATTTATAGGCTTTGAGAATGAATCACCACCACATATTTCCTTGGTGAAGTAAGTGGATGATGTAGGTGAAGTGAGTGAAGGTTGTAGATGAAGTAAGTGGATGTTGTAGGTGAAATGAGTGGAGGTTGTAGGTGAAGTAAGCGGATGTTATAGGTAAAGTAAGTGGATGATGTAGGTGAAATGAGTGGAGGTTGTAGGTAGGTGAAATAAGTGGAGGTTGTAGGTGAAGTAAGTGAATGATATAGGTGAAATGAGTGGAGGTTGTAATTTTAATGCATTGATTAACATTTATTTTACTGAAATTTCGATGTCTATCGTTATAATTCTGAACGGAGTTATATTTAGCTCTTTTTGTTACAGATAAAGACACATGAATGGACCCACAAAAGATTTTTCTTAAACAAAGCAAAATGGTTTGGTATTGGTTTTGCTTGCAATCCATTTCACTGAGCGAGCGAGCCCAATGAGTGTGCCGCGCCTAGCTAGCTTCATTGCTTGCTTGGTGCATTTGTTTACGTGAAAGCAAGGCAAATCCCGGACGCTCCGCTATATATACACACACACGCATATCTATAGGCTGTAGCACCAGATAAGGATAATTATACAGAATCATCGAGTCAACTCACTCTCCCTCTTGCCTCTTGCCTCTGGGAAATATCGATTTTATAAACTAATCTTTCTTACTTTGATTGGAGTTGGAGACTTGGAGTCTTGGAGACCGAACAACCAAAAACGAAACGACGATAATTTATTAGGTAATTTCTTTGCATAGTTTTTGAAACAAAATTCACCATCTTTCTGGGTATTCTGCTGGGTTTTTATTTAAATTTTTTTTAATTTTTATATGTAATTTGTAAATTCGGTAAATAGTAGCTTCAGTTGAATGAATTAATGGTTGGTGGAAGAAGTAATTCCTGTTAATTGTCTTAGTTTGATTGAGCTTCTGTGTATAGTATAGCTGCCTTAATTATATCTAATCTAATCTAATCTAATCACCTGAAACACCATTTTGCACTTTGTGTTTGTTCTTTCTGTATGGTTAATTGGTAAGGATGTAACTAAATTATCTCGGAAATCGATACTTTATTAGGCTGTAGGCAGTAGTGGGTGTGGGAAGGGAGCAATGGGCTCTTGCAAGTCCCCTCACATTGTTCTTCTGCTATATGTCTTGCTTTGCTCCGTCTATCGTTGCTTTGCCATTGGAGTCGATGCAAACCAGACAGCAAACCTGCTTATCGATGCTTCTCAAGCATCTGCACGCCCAATATCTGACACGCTGTTCGGAATTTTCTTTGAGGTTGCGTTATTCATCTTTGGTTTCAGTTCCAATAACTTGAATTTCAGAATTGTGCAGAATTATCAGCTTTCTAAAAATTGTTCACTGCAGGAGATTAACCATGCTGGTGCTGGCGGGGTGTGGGCTGAGCTTGTAAGCAACAGAGGTTACTTCCAAACTCTCCGAACTCCAGCTAATAAAATAAGTGAAATTATAGCAAATGCCGGAAAACGTTTTCTCCACAAACTGTCCAGCAATATCAGATCCTTATCTTTGTGTTGCTAAGTTATGAATGTAGACCATTTATTAGATTAATTGCAGCATGAACGTGTGGTTCAAATTGTCTGGTGACACAAGCACTTCTTTTGCTAGCAAGAGAACATTACCAAACTATTTATAGTCAGCTTCTTTAAAGGGATCCCACCATTGCAGGATGTCTCACAGCATAATTGGAATGCTGAGAGAAATGAGTCCTCTTTGATTGTGGTCCGTTGAAAAAATCGAAGAGGACTCATTTCCATTGACACAATCAAACAGTCCTACACAATCAAAGAGGACTCATTTCCAGTCTGAAAAGAAAAGAAAGGGATCGCATGTGGTCCCATCCAATCCTTCTTTCTGTTGAGTTGTCGTACTTGGTTTTATATGTTTCTATCAGGTCACGCTTCAATGTGTAAATAGAGATGGACTAGGCTGTACTTCACCAAAATAAATTTTCTTGATGCAAAACCATTGTATTTTGAGTTAATAAGTGTTCTACCGCTTGTGCAAGTGTGGTTGGTGGACGACAATCAAGAAATTTTCTCCTTTTTGTATGACACCTATTTCCTTCTTTATCTATCTGACTCTCTGTATTGAATACGTACCACCAGATCCCTCTTTTTTTCAACCCTTCGATTTTTTCGTCTGCCTTGTCAGTTTTAAGTTTGTTTGAGGTGTCGGAATGAGTTTGGATTATTCAGTATGAGGTTACTGAGTTTTTGTTGAAAATTCTGCATTCAATACAGAGAGAAGAAATATTTTGTATCAAAGATTATAATGAGCTATCCTGCTTTGTTATGTTAACCGCATGCTTAAAGCTGGGCTTCTCATTAATTTTTTCCCACAGGTTTTGAAGCTGGGGGCCCTAACACTCCTTCTAACATTGATCCTTGGGCGATAATTGGAAATGAGTCCTTTTTAATTGTGTCAACGGACCGTTCATCATGCTTTGACCGCAATAAGGTTGCACTCCGAATGGAGGTGCTATGTGACACCCAAGGCGCCAATAGCTGCCCTGCTGGGGGTGTTGGAATTTATAACCCTGGGTTCTGGGGCATGGTATGAACTTTTACACCTAATTTGAATGGGTTCAGTTTTCCACCTAGTGCTTTAGGTCTCCCATTTACAAGTGGGGAAAAG